ACCTTTTGGATACCAAAGACAAAGATCAGTGGTGCCTTTTTGATATCTCAAAATTCTCTTGACAACAGTCAAGTGAGACTCCTTTGGATTTGTCTAAAAGTTTGCACAAAGGCCTACACTAAAGACAATGTCAGGTCTACTAGCAGTGAGATACAACAATGATCCAATCATTCCCCTATATAACTTCTGATCGACAGATAAACCAGGTTCATTTATATCCAACTTTGTAGCTGTTGCAATAGGAGTTTCAATTTCTTTGAAATCTTTCATTTTAAACCTTTTAAGTAACTCTTTTACATACTTCTACCGATGGATCATAGTTTTATTTGGATTTTGTTTAATTTGTAAGCCTAAAAAAAAATTAAACTCACCCATCATGCTCATTTCAAATTCACTCCCCATTAGTTTAGCAAATTCTTTACTTAACTTATCAGTAGTTGCTCCAAAGATTATATCATCAACATATATCTGAACTACCAAGAGATATTTACCTTTTTCTTTCAAGAATAAAGTATTGTCAATTTTACCTCTCTTTTAGTCATGCTCAAGCAAAAATTTTGATAATCTTTCATACCAAGCTCTTGGCGCGTGCTTGAGCCCATAAAGTGCTTTGTCAAGTTTGTACACATGATCAGGACTCTCCTTGCTTTCAAACCCTGGAGGTTTCTTGACAAATACTTTTTCCTTTAGATAGCCATTGAGGAAGGCACTCTTGACATCCATCTGGTGGACGGTGAATTCCATGTAAGCAGCAAAGGTATAAGGAGCAAAGGTTTTATCATAGTCTATGCCCTCCTCCCAGCTATATCTTTGAACCACCAATCTTGCCTTGTTCCTTGTAACAGTTCCATCTTCATCAAGTTTGTTTCTGAAGACCTATTTTGTGCCAATTCCTAATCTGTCCAAGGGTCTTGGTACCAGATACCAAACTTGACTCCTTTCAAATTGGTTGAGTTCATCTTGCATTACATTTACCCAGTCTGCATCCTACAAAGCCTCAGCAACATTTTTAGGTTCAATAAGAGATAAGAAAACATCAAAAGCACAAAGATTTTTTAATGAAGATATGGTTTTGATTCCAGAGGTTGGATCAGTAATTATGTTCTCAGTGGGATGAGAACTTCGATATTTATAAGGTTTCACAACCAACTGGTTTTCCTTTGATGTTCCTTCAGTGTTTTGTTGCTGTGGAACATGTTCATGGACAGGTTCCCTTGAGGTTTGAGAATCATTTCCTCTTTGTTCTATTCCCCCTGTCAGGTTGCCCTGGGTAGAAGGACCTGTTCCATCACCTGTTCCTTCTTCCAGTGCAACTTCAGTCTGGGCTGTGGTTTCATTTATGTTTCTTACCAGCCCAATTGCTTCATCATCATGTTCCTGTCTCTCAAAAAGAATGTTAGTTTCATCAAAATCCACATGAACACCTTTTTCAACACACATAGTTCTTTTGTTATATACCTTATATGCTTTACTATGTGAAGAATATCCCAAGAATACTTCCTCATCACTTCTGGGATCAAACTTTCCTAGGAAGTCTTTACCATTGTTGTGCACAAAGCACTTGCATCCAAATGCCCTAAGATGGGATATATTTGGTTTTCTCCCTTTAAGTAACTCATAGGGAGTCTTCTCTACTAGAGGTCTTGTCATGCACCTATTTATGATATAACATGCAGTATTTACAGCTTTTGCCTAGAAGCTATGGGGCAGCTTACTAGAAAGAAGCATAGTTCTAACCATTTCTTCAAGAGTCCTATTCTTTCTTTCAACTACTCCATTTTGTTGTGGAGTTCTAGGGACAGAAAAATTATGATCTATGCCATGCATATCACAAAATTCAGCAAATTTAGCATTTTCAAATTCAGTACCATGATCAGACCTAATTGATGCAAGTTGATTTCCTAATTATTTTTGAGTTTTTCTAACAAAGGAAGTGAACATGTCAAATACTTCATCTTTAGATGTTAAAAACAGTGTCCAGGTAAACCTAGAATAATCATCAACAAGCACCATCACATATCTCTTACCACCTCTACTTAATGTTCTCATTGGACCACAGAGATCCATATGAACCAGTTCCATCGTTCTGGTGGTACTTACCACTTTCTTGCATTTAAAAGAGGATCTTACCCGCTTCCCCCTTGCACAATCCTCACAAACTTTGTCTTCCTTGAACTTAATGTTAGGCAGTCCTATCACCAGGTCATTGGCGACTAATTTGTTAAGTTGACTCAGACTTGCATGTCCAAGTCTCTTGTGCCAAAAGAGGGGATCATNATATATATTTCACTCTTTTCCCTGTAAAACAATCTTGTCAGTGGTAAGATTAATCACAAAGTATTTTGTGAAGGTGAAAGCTACCAAGTTACCTCTATCACACAGTTTTGATACACTAATTAGACTGTATTTTAGGCTGTCTATCAAATAGACATTCTCAATCGAGTGAGAGTCAGTCTTACCTACCTTACAAACCCCAATGATCTCACCTTTCTTCCCATTTCCAAATGAGACATTACCTCCTTTGAGATCCTCAAGTGAAAGGAACTGGTTCTTGCTTCCTGTCATGTGCTTTGAGCAGCCATTATCCATATACCATATTTGGCTGCTCCCCTTCACTTGGACCTAAAAAAGGAAATCAGGGGTTAGTCTTAGGAACCCAAACTAGTTTGGGTCCCTTTCTATAGGCAAAAGGATGAATTAAATTCTTTTTAGCCCAACTTGGTAACCAATTCTTCCCTTGAACAAAATTTTTGTTCTTTTGACTGGCCCTTTCTTTTGCGTTACATTCACTTTTATAGTGACCAGTCTTACCACAGTGAGTACAAATCTTGTTCTCAGGAAAAGTGAGGTACTTGCTTTTAGGATCCCACTTAGGTAGCTGATTCCCAAAGCCAAGTCCTCTCCTATTGCTATTGTGATGTTCCTGTAGCCATGACAAAGCATCGGAGGACCTGTTCCATTTACAAGTTCTGTCTCTTCGTTCAGCTCTTTACTTCTTCCATTCAATTTCCTATTGAGGGCAGTTTTTGATGTGGTGATCAGTCTTTTCACACTTGTAGCAGCCCTCATTGGTCTATTTTTCAGTAACCCTTAGTTTGTTGTAGCCTCCACTTCTTGAAGAACCCTTTCCTCTCATCAGGTTCTTCTTGAAGTCCTTTATGATCATAGCCATTTCATCTTCCTCTAGATAAGAAACTTCAGTGATTCTGAGTGCCAGGCTCCTTTCCTTCTTGGGTACATCCATCTTCATGGTTTGCCTTCTTAGTTCATAAGCGGTGAGATTTCCAATTAGCTCATCCAACCTAAGAGTGGCGATGTTCTTTGACTCCTGAATAACAGTGATTTTTCTCTCCCATGAGACTGGCAGAACCCTTGTCAAAATCTTCTCAACTTTGTCTTCTTCAAGAATAACCCTTCCAATAGACTTAAGTTCATTTGTTTGTGTGGTGAACCTTGTATACATCTCTTGGATGGTTTCTCCTTCCTTCATGGTAAAATTCTCATATTGAGATTATAGTAACGTTCCTCTAGACCCCTTCACCTGAGGTGTTCTTTCATGAGCCACTTGCAAAGTGTCCCAAATTTTCTTAGCAGTAGTACAACTTTGAATTCTGTTGTACTCGTCTGGACCGAGTCCACAAATAAGTCATTTCTTGGCTTTAGTATTCTTCTCCCATTTCCTCAAGTCGTCAGCAATGCAGTCAGCTCTTGTTTTTGGCACCTCTTCTCCTTCGGCATTTATCTTCATGGTAGCCAGTGGACCATCTGTGACAATGTCCCATAGCTCATAATCTTCTCCTATGATGTGGTCTCTCATTCTATTTTTCCACCAGGAGTAGTACTAGCCATTGAAGAGTGGTAGCCTAGCAGTGGATTGCCCTTCCTAGTTTCCAGGTAGTGCACTCATCTTGATCTTCTCCTAAGGTGTAGCCTCTTCAAGGATAACTTGCTCTGATACCAATTGATGTTTTATACGTCAATACCACACAAGAGGGGTGGGGTGATTTGTGTGGTGTCCAATTTTTTCCGTGCACAGATTATAGAAGGACATGGTTCTTCTATGTGTTCCAACAACTACTGTTGCGGAATAATAAGTAAAGAAAATAAATAACACAGAGATTTTTACGTGGAAAACACCTGGCTCAAAAGGTGAAAAGGCCACGACCTACTTCTCAGTAGAATTTTTCCGAACTCTCCACTAAATCACCGAGTCAAAAACTGCATTTATAAAATACTTTTGTAAACCTAGGATTAACTCTAATCCCGTTGTGGGAACCAGAATCTAACTGCTGCGACAACATCAAGTTAACTCTAACTTGAATGCTCTGAGTACCTATTACAATTGCCTCTAGATAAAGCTGAAAGGTACAATATGAAAACACCAACAATAATTGAACTAGAATAAAAGACAGACACTTGGAGCTAGTTCTTCTATCTAGTTCATGTAGTTTCAGGTTCGAACACTTGAATCACACACGAACTGCTTGCAAAATGCCTTGCTATTTTGCTCTCAATTCACGTTTAACTTCTACTTTTGTGCGTCACATGTAGAATGAGAATATCCTGCGATTTATAGAGTTAGTAGAGTAGAAAATAACTAGAGCTCTAATGCTACTCTTCCTTGGTGGAAGAGTTCTAGTTGATCTCAACCTCTAACTCCTCCCTTATCCTGGATAGTGTTCTCTTTGATTAAGGAGTCCTTCTCCTTATCAATTATGCAGCCCTTTTCGATCAGGAGATATCTATTATTATGCCAGATTTCGTTTATCTCCTGCATGTGCATCTCACGTGGTTTGAATCTGCCCGTGTCTATGCCTACCAGTGATGGATCTGGTTCATCCCTAAGTTCCTTTGTCGATCTTCAAAACTATCCTTTACTTGGTCCAACACTTGCTATATATAGCGCAGGTAGGAGTGGAGTTAATCGTACTAGATGTGTACAAGCATATGCACAAAACTACATTCAGGTCTGCTATATTCAAAGTGCCTGCAACCATAAATTACTTTACTATGTTAAGGTAATCCATGAGAATTCTATAAGTAGCAACAAGCCTACCTGATTCAGAACCAGCCATTCTAATATAGATATCTTGCCCTCCGTTGGCTCCCTGCCAAATGTCAAACAGATCCTCGAACCACAATAAGCATCCACTTCCTCCATCGCGTATGTCAGGATTTGCGTAAGCCATACAAGAGCAATTTTTAGAGCAGATATTCTTGCATTCTTCTAGTGTCATAGTCACATTGGACCATGAATTCCGTGTGTCTGGAAATTTGATATGTGGATACTTCAAAAATGCGTCTCCTCGAAGAAAATTTAGTTCAGTTCTCCGAACACAACCACCTGACCAGTCTGTCTTCTTCCAAGCTTCCCTATTGTTGGGCAAAAATTTGTCTAAGCATCCACATACAGGAGAATATTGACTGTTGCAACCACCATATGCACCACACAACTTATACATATCACAGTTATCTGCCGGTATTAAGAGGAAAGGGACCCAACCCTGTTTTCCATCACCCCAAATCCAAACCTGTAGGATACCATTCTGAGTTAATGTCAACCTCACGATAATTGAAGATGTGAGCTTATATCCAAAATACACCTCCATCTTACTTGAAAATACTCCAAATGTGTAGAAATGACCTTCTCTCGAGTTCTGTGTCCCACTGAAAGAGCGACCATTCCACGGTCCAGAGCGATATATGACATCTAAGCCCTTCTTCAGGAAGTTCTGAGGATAACCAGAAGGATCACAGTGGTATGTATAATCACCGGGAGTTGGATCCTCTTCGTTCTTCTATGATTTAATAATTCTCAAATCTATAAAAGTTTCAAGACATACTCAATATAGAATTTAATTTTTTTAATCTTGCCTTGAGTGCATAAAGATTATCCTTATTGACTTTTGAGTTACTTCTCTATTTATAAATAATTGGATACACAAATAGGAAAATATTAATAATTTCAGTATTATTAATTATTAAAAGTGAGTACCATTAATTACTTTTTTTGAAATATATCATTAATTACTTGTTAAGTCAAAAAAAGAAAAAAAAGAAAAAAAGAAAAAAAAGAGAGCAAGACACTTAAGAATTGGGCCTAAAGCCCATAGAAAGATCCGTTGAAAGAAAAAGGAAAAGAACGAGAGGTCAAGGGTTGGAAAGTAAGTGCAAGGAATTCAAAACAACAAAAATATAGATTTTCAAGGAGCAAGAACAAGGCAGTGTGTAGGTCATTGTGAGAGCTATTCCGCAGGACATTCTTTAGGGCACGACTGAGGTAATTCTTTTTATGGAATTGTAAGCGATAACATCATTATACACTAGAATCTAACACCCTAATGGGCTGAATTCATAGAAACGTTTTACAAAACCTCAAGAACACCCATCAAGTACGAGTTAGGTTTTTGGTGTTACAAGATAAATTCTTCACTTTTATTAGATCACTATAACGGGTTAAGGTTGTTAGAGATAGTAAAGAATTGTTAGAACAAGACCTCATCCAAAAACTTAGAAATTTAAAAGTTGAACCTAAAGTTCTTAGAGTTGAGAAAAGAAAAATTAGGGAAGTTGGATACTTATCGTGACTTATTGTTGTAGTATTTGATCGTTGAGTTGACTACAAGAATTGAAACTTACATTGTTGCTTGAAAGGAAAAATTGAGGTGAGTGAATATAATTCTTTACTAAAATGGTTCTACTCACAAAAACATGCCCATAAGTATTTGATAAAATACTTTAAAGAGTCAATATGTGCTTAATTGGAACGAGTGAGTACATGTTGACTAAGTATATTCTAATTAAAGCTTATATATTTTACTCGAGAAGTATAAGCGTCTATTTTTCATATTTTTATGCTTTATTACATGATCTTACATGTTAAAGATTCAAGAGTTAGAGAGAACTTTTAAAAAATACTTTGAGTAATTTTATTTCATGCTTATGCTATGTATACACTCAAGAATATTATTATGAATATTGAAAGGTCACTTTCAAACAAGATTTAGACTTGAAAAGTCACAAAAAGAAGTTTTAGAAAGAAAAGATTTTTGGGAGTATCCTCTATTCTGAGAAGGGGTCATCGTCCAGGCCGAGGGTCCTGATCAAGCCGTTGACTTCCTGAAACTACTTGTGCCAATGTAGGGAGCACACGAGCCGAGAGTCTCATTACTGAGAATTTGCCTAGCCACACTAAGGTATGATACATGAGCGCCGAGAACCATGAAGCGAATAGCACCTCGTGGATTGGGCCTATTCGATCAGGTCTGGATCGAACCCATGCCGATCACACGATGACTAAGACATAAATAAGTCAAGATAGTTGGAACTCCCGAAGCATAAAGGGAAGTATTTTTTTTTAGATAAGAAAGAAAAAGAAAAGAATTTCTTTTAGAATATTCATAAACTGCTGTTATACAATTATTTTAGAATTATTCTTGGAAGCTTTATATTTTTCATCCATTTAGAATCTTTGCTTGTAATGTATATTTTAATAAAGTTTTGTCCCCTGTCGTTGAGACTCACTGAGTACAATGAATGGTACTGACGTTCTCTTTTGCGAACCTGCGTTGGTCTGCGGTATAATATAGGAACCGATTTTGCAGGCAAGCAGGCTACAGGTTAGGACTTCCCTCACTTCCACTACTATTGGTGAGCTCCACTTTTGTTCGTAGAATATTCCTTTGAGTCGTCATTATTTAGCTATTTCTTTGTTTACTTAGAGAACTTGCCAGAAAATCTCATGTCCTGAGCAGTGTGTCAGTTTATCAGTAGTGGCTTCATAGACACAGTCGGTGGATTAAGATTAAGGTGTTTTTGATAATAACTTTGTAGTATTTCAGTAGTTACTACGAATAAAGTTTTGGAGTTGGTTTGTTTTAGATATTCAGATTAATTAAAAGTATTTGATTAAAGTATTGCCTTATTTCATATAAAGTTTGAAGTTATAATAGTTTTGATAAGCGCATATGATTCGCTCGGTCAAATTTAGCGATCGGTGCCGGTAACGGCTTGTTCAGAAACTGGATCGTGACACGTGATGAGCGGTATCCATGTGAATGCAACATTATCAGTCAAACACGAGGTAAATGTCTCTGCAGTTCAAATATACGGATCCAATTTCAAGTGTTACCAAAAATAATTGTGTCTTCTCGGATTGTTATCGGATCATGCGGGATGACAAAGACTATGACTTGAAATGAAGAAATAGGAATTCTTTTTTATTAAAGGAGGTAAATAGTTCGTTGTTGTGAACATGAAAGAATAAGAAAAATATTTTAACAACATTTGATTAGAAATTACAATACCTAACATTAACAAAAGAAAAGGAATCCTTTAGAATAGTCTTATTCAAGGTTACATTTCATGGAAATATCATGGATATGTCTAGACAACTTTTTATAAAAATATAATTTCTTTTATAAAAATATCTATAAAAGTAAATGTGTGTGTATAAAATGATGTGTGTATATATATAAAACCAAAACTGATTAAATGAAACGTCCGAACTGACATATTCCCTCCATTCACTTTTACTTATCAATTATACGAAAAATATATTTTCACTTATATTTGTCCATATTAGCAAATAAAGAGACAATAATTTTTTCATGTTTTACCTTTATTATTAAATATTCTATTCCCCTTCATTTTTCAAGATATTTTGAAATGCTATGGGTATTATGATAAAATATGTATTTTATTTATTATTTCTTAAAAGAAGTGCAAAGTCCATTATGAATAAGTAAAAGTGAACGTAAAAGGAAAATGTTGGACAAATTGGGTTAACACATGGGAATTATAGCCATAACCCGCGTGCAGTAGTTGAGGTTCGGTACGCTTGGATGCTCAAGTGGCCCGATAAAATATTCATTGAATACACCATTATTATTTGAATAGTTAAATAGTTATTTGTATAATAACTGTTTTCTTTTAGCTGGTTTTGACTTTTCTATTTTGTAAGAAGTATTAATTCATAGTTTTTAATGTAATTTATTAACTTATAAAGTGTTTAATATAGATGTATAAATTCACATTGAAAGATAATCAAGTAGATGCTTTGACTTTGACTTTTGAGTGGAGATGGTACAAAAATCAATATGTGCGATCTAAATTAGGTCAGTCTCACGGAAAGGAAAAAGGAAGAAAATTCCTTGATGACAAGTACACCTCTCGGCCAGTTACAAAATTCCAACCAAGCTTCATGCCCGGTAAGAGTGTATCAGTCGGGTGATCAAAATTCTGCCGTAGGAAATTATTAGCCTGTTTAGCCAATTCGGAGAAATCAACTTATTTTGAGAAGTATTTTTTTTATCACCTTATTTTGAAAAAAATACTTTTAGAGAGAAACAATTTATGTTTGGCTAATCACTCTGAAAAATACTTTTAAGTAATAATTTGTGTTTGGTCAAGCTTTTCAGAAAGTGCTTTTAAGTATCAAATTACGAATAAGGATATGAATAGAGTTACTTAATAGTTAATATTATAAGTAAATAAATAATTTTAAAAATTTATTATTACATGCAATAATTAAATCTTTTTATTTTATTTAAGTAAAATATGAAAATAAAATTTAAAAGTACTTAATTCTTTTAATATAAGTTAAATATATTAAAAATCATTCAACAACTATAAAAGCATTCACCCCTAAAGTCACTATATATTAGAAAGTTATCCTAAAAATAATAAAAAATATTTATACATTAATATCCTAAGTATTAGATTTAACGGTTATTTTGGTATATACTATATTTTGTTAAGGGTATTTTTGGTAAGAAGAAAAGTCTAAACTGCTTCTGCTTCTACTTTTGGGAAGAAGCTATTTTTTTCTGCTTCTCAGAAACTGTTTCTGCTTCTTCCCAAAAGTAATTTTTTCCCCCAAAAAAGCTTGGCCAAACACCTCAAGTTAGGAAAAAAAATACTTTTGGCCTCTTGAGAAGCTTGGCCAAACAGGCTATATCACCACCAGCTTCTACATGATTTCCAGAATCTAGCAATTGTGCAATGGAATTCAGCACAGATCTAGAGGTATTAGTTGACCACAAAACATTGTCAGCGCCGTTGAGAAGGACAATGTAACGATCCGATCGGTCGTTTTGAGCTCTAGCGCATCGTTCGGCGGTTTTAGGCCTTGAGTAGTTTTACTTCATGTATTACGACTTGTATGTGTGGTCGGAATTAGATTTTGGGAAGCTCGAAGTTGATTCGGAAGGAAAATTCTCAATTTAGAAGCTTTAAGTTGGAAGAGTTGACTTTTGAGTAAACGACCTCGGAATCAGGATTTGGAGGTTTCAATAGGTCCGTATGATGACTTCGGACTTGGGCGTATATTCGGGTTGAGTATCGGGTGGTCCGGGAGCATTTCGGCGCTTATTATGGAAGGTTGGCATTTTAGAAGTTTCAGAATTTCTTAAGTTTGATTTGAAGTAAATTTTGGTGTTATCGATGTCTGTTTGGGGTTCCGAGCCTTGAAATAGGTTAGTATCGTGAATTGTGCGTAAAGTTTGGTGTCATTCCAGGATGTTTTAAGTATGAATCAAACGCATTCGTCGAAGTTCGAATGTTTGAAATTTTTTCCAAGTTTGACTATGGTTTAACTTTAAGGCTACCGGGTTCGTATTTTAGGGTTGGGACTTGGAATAGGTTCGTTTCGTCATTTGGAACTTGCCTGCGAAATTTGGTGTCATTTGGAGTTGATTTGATGTAGTTCGGACGATTGGTTGTAATTCTAGAAGTTCTTGAAGTTCATTGTGATTTTCATGCATTTTGGCGTCTGATTTGTTATTCTAGATGTTATTTCGGCATTTTTGTCGCGCGAGCAAGTTCGTATGATGTTTTTAAACTTGTGTTGATATTTGGTTTGGAGCTCCGATGTAATGACCCAGCTGGTCATTTTGGAAATTTAAGTCCCGTTCGGCAGCATAAGGCCCTGAGCAGCTTCGTATTATGTGTATTGACTTGCGTGCGTAGTTGAATTCAGTTACCAGATGATTCGGAGTGATTTGAAAGTTCATAAGTTTGATTCGTGGTGCGATTTGTATTTTTGGCCTTGTTTGATGTGATTTGAGACCTCGAGCGAGCCCGTGTTAGGTTATGGAACTTGTTGGTATGTTTAGACGGGATCCCGGGGGTCTTGGGTGTGTTCCGGATGGGTTACGAACCATTTACTTCTATTTTTGAACTGCTGTTTTCTGTCTTCTGGTGTTCTTTTTTGCGATCGCGAAGTGCCTTTCGCGTTCGCGAAGTGTTACTGCTGACCACCTCATAAGTCTTCATCGCGTTCGCGTTCAACCTATCGCGTTCGCGAAGGTTTGCCTTTCCCTTCTCCGCGTTCGCGTTTAGTCACCCGCGTTCGCGAAGCACTTCCTGGCAGCCTCACATTCCTTCTTCGCGGTCGCATCCATCCTTCCGCGGTCGCGTAGGTCATCGTTCCCTCTTCTTCGCGTTCGCGTTCACATCGCTTCTTTCGCATTCACGAAGGGTTTTCTTGGCAGCCTAAATTTCCTTCTTCGCGAACGTGAGACTTTCTCCGCGTTCGCAATGCTTTCAGGCCTGGGCAGAATATAAGTTTTCCGAATCGAGGGTTAGGCCATTTTTATCACATTTTGACTTGTAGAGCTCGGTTTTGAGCGATTCCTTGTGGGGTTTTCAAGCAAATCGATTGAGAAAGTGTTCTTCACCTAGAATTTATTTATTTTCATGATTCTATCTTTATTTTTATCATTTAATTTGTGTTTTGAGTTGAGGAAAATGGTGGTTTTTGAAGAAAATTTCAAAATGAAAAAATATCACGATTTGAGGGACGAAATGATATCGGAATTTGATAAATTTAGTATGGTTGAACTCATGGTTAAATGGGCATTCATATTTTGTAACTTTTATCGGGTTCCGAGACGTGGGCCCCACATGCGACTTTTGGGTTAAATTTTGAATTTTTGTAGAAACTTTGTATTTTCATATGGAATTTATTCCTACAATTTGTATTGATTGAATGGAATTAATTATGACTAGATTCGAGCTGATAGGAGCCGAAAATCGAGGAAAGGGCATATTACATGACTAATTGAGCGCAGTTTGAGGTAAGTATCTGGCCTAACCTCGAGTAGGGGAATTACTCCTTAGGCATTGAGTCTTATTGTAATGACCCGGTCGGTCGTTTTGAAAGTAATAACCCCGATCCCCTATTGACTATTTCCCCCGCATCTATTTCTACTATTGTGACTTGTCGGGAGGCTTCGTTTTGTTTTTTGGAGTGTTCCGGAACACTTAGTCCCTAAAACGGGAGCTTAAGCCTTAGGATTTAGACCGTAGTCGGAATTGTGTGAAGACGACCCCAGAATGGAATTCTGTCGGTTCTGTTAGCTCTGTTAGGTAATTTTGGACTTAGGGGCGTGTCCGGATTGTGTTTTGGAGGTCCGTAGCTTATTTAGGCTTGAATTGGCGAAAGTCAATTTTTTGAAGTTTTGAACTGGTAGTGGACTTTTTGATATCGGGGTCGTTTTCCGATTTCGGAAGTTGGAGTAGGTCCGTAATGTTGAATATGACTTACGCGCAAAATTTAGGGTCAATCGGATGTGGTTTTGTTAGTTTCAACGTCGGTTGTTGAATTTGGAAGTTTCAAGTTCTTTAAGTTTGAATCAGAGGATGATTTGTGATTTTAGCGTTGTTTGATGTGGTTTGAGGGCTCGACTAAGTTCGTATGGTGCTTTAGGATTTTTTGGTATGTTTGGTTGAGGTCTCGGGAGCCTCAGGTGAGTTTCGGGTGCTTAACGGGTGAAAGTTTGGACTTAGAAGAATTTTTGAGTTGCTGGTTCTGGTGTTTTCGCACCTGCGGTGGGAAGTCCGCAGGTGCGGCTTCGCAGAAGCGAGGCTGGGATCGTAGGTGCATTTTTAGGCCGGGGAGTCAGTGGTCACAAATGCGACGAGTGAGCCGCAGGAGCGGAGCCGCATCTGCAGAAGGGCAGTCATAGATGCGGAGATGAGAAGGACCCATGGTTCCGCAGAAGCGCACCCACAAATGCGGACTTAGGCGCGCAGGTGCGGGCTCTGGAGTTTTATGAAAACTCGCAGGTGCGGCGTCCTAGCTGCAGAAGCGGTACCGCAGGTGCGGTTCTGGGCTCGCAGAAGCGAGTTTGCTAGGCAGAAAAGAGAGAGTTTCGAGGGTTTGAGTCATTTCTCCATTTTGGACTTGGGAGCTCAGAAATTGGCGATTCTTTGAGGGATTTTCAGAGAGAGTTTTGGGGTAATGATTCCTAACTCGTTTTTTTTTGTATTTCATTAAAACAATAGTTGTTTTCTCCATTTAATTTCGGTTTTGGATTGAAAAGTTGGGAAAATGGGGGAAACGTTCCCTAAACGAAATTCTGAGTTTTGATTGGGATTTAGACATCGGATTTGGTGAATTTTGGTACGAGTGAACTCGTGAGTGAACGGGCTTCCGTATTTTATGACTTTTACCAGATTCCGGGAAGTGGGCCCCACAGGCGATTGTTGAGTTAATTTCGGAATTTTCGTTAAAGACTTCGTTAATTAGATGAGTCTATTATTGTTGTATTTATGTTACGTAATTGCTTTTGACTAGATTTGGGCCATTCGGAGCCGGATATTCGTGGGAAAGGCATTGCGACCGATTAATTGAGCTTGACTCGAGGTAAGTGGCTTGCCTAACTTTGTGTGGGGAAAATCCCCTTAAGATTAGCAACTATTGTGATATGTGAGCGCCGTGTACGTGAGGTGACGAGTACATACACGGGCTTGTTGTGGTAAAACCCGATTTTCTTACTGAGCAACAACATGTTTTTCTATTATTTTGAGTTATACCATTTTAATGAGTATTAATCTATTTTCATTCTTAATTGCGTTATTCCAATATGTGTAGCTATCATGTTTAGTCTAATAAAATATATCTACGTCTCTTAATTGTTTATGTGAATTCTGTGCAACATGCTTAGTGAATTTTCTGCTTCTTTCATGACTGGTACTTAGTCTAAATCGTAAGAATTTCGTGATGTAGTTGTATTTCTATCGTTCGCGCTGCATATTTACTTTGGAACTACGGAACGGTATTTCGGGAGATCCCCCTGTACTGCATATTTACTTTGGGACTACGGAACAATTTTTTGGGAGATCCCCCTGTACTGCATATTTACTTTGGGACTACGGAACGGTATTCTGGGAGATCCCCCTATCTTGCATATTTACTTTGGGACTATGGAACGGTATTTCGGGAGATCCCCCTATACATTTACGTTTGGGACTACGAGACGGTATCTCGGGACATCCCCTATTATGTTTCTGTATACTGAGTTGTTACCTTTTATTATTTCATTGTTGTTAAATTTCATCCTTTATTTTATTGCGGTATTACACTCTATATTATTTTATTATATATTTTCCAGTAGGGCCCTGACCTGACTTCGTCAGTACTCGACCGAGGTTAGGCTTAGCACTTAATGGGTACCGATTGTGGTATACTCATGCTACTCTCTGCACATGTTTTTCGTGTGTAGATCCAGGTGCACCTTATCAGCCGCACTATCAGTGAGCCGAGTCAGATTTGGAGACATCAAGGTATATCTGCCGCGTCCGCAGACCTCGGAGTCCCATTTTACTCTTTCTCATGTCCATTATCTTCTGTATTTTTCCTTGTTAGACTCTGATGTATAGAGACACTCGATTTATCCTTCTGTAGTTTGTGATTCACGATGTTCCGGGTTTCGGGATTTGTTGTGTATTTTTGAATAGTTGGTTAAATGTATATTTTTATTTCACTATTCTGCAAAATGTTAGGCTTACTTAGTTGTAGAGACTAGGTTCCGTTACGACGTCACATAAATTGGGTCATGACAAGTTGGTATCAGAGATCTAAGTTCATAGGTGTCGTGAGTCACAAACCGATTTAGTAAAGTCTCGCGGATCAGTACGGAGACGTCTGTACTTATCTTCGGGAGGCTATGGAACTCTTAGGAAAATTTCACTACTTTGATTCCTTGTCGTGCGAAAATTGTTGACTTCAAAGATTCTAAACTTCTGTATTCTATTCTCTCATAGATGGTGAGGACACGTACAAGCAGATCTGATAACCAGGCAGCCGCTCCCCCTGCTAGAGCTGCGAGAGGCCGGGGCCGGGGTAGAGGCTGAGGACGTCCACGTGGTGCAGCCAGAGCACCCGCACGAGCTGCTACAGAGGAGCTCTCAGTAGCTCCAGCTGGAGGGCAGACACCTGAGGTACCTGTTTCTGCACCAGCCCTCCAGGAGACTCTAGCCCAGTTTCTGAGCATGTTCAGCACCTTAGCTCAGGCTGGATTGATTCCACTTGCTCCTGCCACATCTCAGGCCGGGGAAGGAGCACAAACTCCCATCACCGGTACTCCAGAGCAGCGAGTTCAGGTCGACCAGGTTCCAGATGTTGTACCAATGCAGCCGGTAGCTCCAACTCAGCCCGAGGTTAGGGCAACAACTTCTGAGGTGGAGCAGCTCAGACTTGAGAGGTACAAGAAGTACCACCCACCTACTTTCAGCGGATTGGCTAAATATGATGCTCAAGGTTTTCTGGAGGAGTGTCATCGTATTCTCCGTACTTTGGGCATAGTGAGGACGAGCGGGGTTTCTTTTACTACATTCCAGCTTAGAGGAGCAGCCTATCAGTGGTGGCGTGCTTATGAGTTGAGTAGTCCAGCTGAGGCAGCTTCGCTTACATGGACTCAGTTCTCGGACATATTTTTGAGAGAGTATGTCCCTCAGAGCCTCAGGGACTCATGGCGCGCGGAGTTTGAGCAGTTGCGCCAGGGCTCTATGACTGTGTCAGAGTATGCAGTTCTCTTCAGTGATTTGGCCCGACATGCACTGGCCTTAGTTGCCACAGTTCGAGAGAGGGTTCGACGGTTTATTGAGGGACTGCATCCCGGCATCCGGAGTAGTATGGCTAGGGAGTTAGAGATGGATATTTCTTATCAGCAGGTTGTGAGTATTGCCATGAGATTTAAGGGCATGTTTGCCCGGGATAGAGAAGAGAGGGAGGCCAAGAGGTCTCGAGAGACTTGTTATTATTCTGGAGCTCGTGTCCCAGCAACTCGCCATGGTAGGGGTTATGTGAGCCGGTCCGTTCATTCAGCTCTTCCATCTGCCAGCGGTGTTCCAGCTCCTTCTAGACCTCAGGAGCCTTATTATGCATCGCCAGTATCTAGTGTGCCTCCTGCACTGGGTATTCCTAGCGGCCAGTCTAGCAGACCTGGCCCGAGCCAGTCACAGCAACCACGCCCTCCCAGATCTTGTTTTAAGTGTGGTGACAGTCGCCATATGATGAGGGATTGCCCCAGATTTAGGAGGAGTTCTCCTCCGCAGAATTCTCAGCCACAGCGTACCCCACCGGGTCCTCAGTCCATGATTACAGCACCAGCTGCCATCCCACTTGCTTAGCCAGCTCGAGGTGGAGGTCGGGGATGTAAAGGTCGCCCTAGAGGGGGAGGCCAA